GGGTGGGGTTTCCTTTCCCGGCAAAAAAAAAAAAAAAAAAAAAAAAAAAAAAAAAAAAAAATCGTGTACTGCTTCACTGTTTTAACTTTAAAACTCCAGTACTCCACGTGTTCCCCTATAACTCACTTTTTCTCCTCCTCTTTACAATCGTTAAATAGACTAACTTCTGCTCAATTTTGTTACTGATCTTGAATCTCCAGACCCTGTGCTCACTTTCTGCTGGTACCTGGTGGAACGTTCCCACGCCATCTTCCTGGAGGACTTCACAGTCTTGATTTTCACAGTCATTTTAGTGCCTCCTGACAGTTTACATGCTACTTTGCACAGGTCAGGGTTAAGTCATGAGCATACCCTAGCAATCAGAGAATCTGTGGTTTCCAAAGTGTGTTAGAGTTTCACATATGCACGCTGATAGCCTAGCTTCATCGACATGAGCAGAACAGCATTGGTTCTCAAATCCTCACATCACTGGGAGACAAGATCACTTTACAATTAGCTTGCAGTTTGTGTCATCTTACATAAGGGCTGCAGCATATCTGTACCTCATGGGGGTCGCTTGTTGACAATAGCAGAATCCAGTTGTCAAGCAAATTGGTGAGTAAAAAATAGTATAATTTAAAAATGAATTACCCATTAACTATATTTCTCCCACAAGCATATCTGGAATCCCAAATAACAGCTGTAGATATGAGTACATTAATTAATTCTGACCCAAGAAAACTCAGTTTTCAATCCTGTATTGTATTTCTAAAGACATGAAGAATTACGAGACCCCTACTCGAAATCTTTGGAGCCAAGTATCTTTCAGAATTCTAATTTTCAGACTTTAGAAAGGCAGAGTGGTGCCTGTGCTGGTTGTACACTAAGTGTCCGGGCAGTGCTCAGGAGTCAAATACGGTTGATCTTCATTAATTTGCAGGTTCCATATTTGCAAATTAGTCTATTTGATAACATTTATTTGTAACCAGAAAAGGAATACTCACAGTGCTTTCTTGGTTATTCACAGATGCACACAGAGCATGCTCATGTTCCCAGCTCTCATACAGTGACCAAGAGTCCTTTACACTATCTATTTAGGGCCATGTTTTTTGCATTTTTGTGCTTTTTGTTGGTGATTTTGCTGTTTAAAGTTTCCCCCAGGTGCAGTGCTGAAGTGCTGTCTGGTGTTTCTTAGCACAAGAGGCTGTGATGTGCCACACGGAGGAAACGGGTATGTTACATACGTTTCATTCAGGTGTTAGTGATAGTGTTGTTGGCTGTGCGGTCCATGCTAATGAATTCACAACGTATATTAAATAAGGTGTCTTTAAACAGAAACAGACATAAAATGAGGTTATGCACTAATTGATGGATGAAATGTTGTGACCAGAAGCTGGCAAAAACCTAACCCTAGGATTCCCCTAGGAGCAATGGTCCAGCATTTGCTAATTCAGTGTTTTCAGTGACTCTATCAAATGTAATTACCTAGAATAACCAGAATCAGCTGTACATCAATCAACATTTCCTCTGAGAAAAGTATGAACATTCACACAATAGGAGAGATACAGACTTTAAATAGTCATATTATCAGTTTACATCAGGTTTTACATTAATTTATTTCAGGTGATTTAGGTGCTGCTGCCAAATGAGTTAAAAAATTTTGTCTTTCAAACTTACCAGATTTTGGAATTTCCAATAAGGGACTGTATTAAGTGGTATAAGTCCCAGTATTCTCTACTTAATGAGTGTGATTAATTCACTTCACTTGTTGGAATAGCTATATATAAATGGCACATTTCTTGAAGTTTTAATTAATTACTTTATAATGTTCATACAGTTGTGTATATTCTTTTGTTTAACAAACTTTTCTTTCAATCATGCAAAACTGTTTCCAGTGAGCACTGTTGATTTATCTCGGATTAGGTAGTAAACACTAATCACATGAGGTGATAAAGCCCACTCTTGCTTTCCGTGTTGATGGGGGGCAGACAAGGCACAGACGAGTGAGATCAACAGCCTCTCCCCAGATCTCGCCTGAGTTAATAGTTGCAGCTTCCCTTTCCATCAGATCTTTCATCAGGGTGGCTAATGGTTGATTTGAGTTGTACTTCCTGTCTTTCTCCTGCTGTCCCTCAGGGATGGAGCTAATGAGAAGTGAAATGACCAAGGCCAGGCAGCGGACCAGAGAGAATCAGTGGCAGGCCAGCATCGGGACACCTGGTGCCAAACGATTAGGAGCTGCCTATAGAACAGAAGAAAAAGTTGGTGATCTATATATATATATGCACATGTATACACACGTGACAACATGTTATTTTTATTTTTAAATGTCAGATTTGTTTGATTGATAAATATATGGATATTTTCAAATTAAAAATAAAGAGAAATGTACTTATTAAAGGCTTACTTGGAAATTAAGATCTAACACTATAAATTTAAAAGTCATAAAATATTCTTTTGCATATTGTTTGTTTGAAGTACCTTGAGCTATGTAATATAATACATAATATTACATATATTTTATAGACATATATGGTCGAATTTTAATTGAAGAAGTGGCAACCTCTTAGGCTACTTAAGATTACACGGGACTTAGAATTTTTTCTTTTTTGATGAATTTTGTAATTTCTAGCTTTAAATGCATAGCTACTATGGCAATTATTAGAAAAATCATATATGAATCAAATTATTTGAAACTTTTTTATCATTGGAAATCTTAAATATATTTTGTTTTAAATATGCCTCTAATTTCCTGATTAGTCTTTGGTAATTTACATCATCAGTTAAGATTCAACCCTAAAAATCTATGAAAGAATAATAACTAGAATTTTGTTTTTACATGACTGCACAAATAAGGACTTGTTTACTTCTTTATCTATATCTATATGAATGCATATATATAATTTTCTAAATTGTTTTTTTCTTTTTAACACGGGGAATGCAGTATGACTGTCAACAATGCACAAAATGACTACCTTCATTTTGAACATGATTCAGTATTTACGCAAACTTTGAAAGCTGAAAGCAAAATTGTCATAGACATAGTGGTAAATAAGCTGAGAAGAAAGGGAAAATGATGGAAGAATACACAGTTTGTCATTATGTATCTAAAAAATCATCCTTGTTTCCACAATATAAAGAAAAGAGTTCTAAATATAAGAGCGGTCTTCTTGCAAATGGCAACACTCTTGCAAATGGCAACATTGGCAGTAACTACCGTGTACCTGCTCTTTCCCTAATTTTATGGCAGCATCTGTACCCTGACAAGGCAGGTGAGAAGAGGGACGCTGGCCATGGTTACACTGCTCACGTGAAAGCTCTTTTTGGGTTTGTTTTTGTTTCTGTTTTTTGTCAATTTGTTCTTATTGAAGTATAGGACATGGGCTGGGAAATGTAACTGGGTGTATGTCCTCCCACCGGGCCATGTCCATTCTAATCTTCTTGGGATAGTTTTTGGAGTTTTTTCTTTTTCTTGGAGCCACTGTTGCTGCCAGCAGCCTCTTCGGGTCCACTGCTGATGGACTCCTCCTTAGAAGAGAATTTCCTTTTTTTCTTGGGACACTCCCATTGCCTGCTCTTCGGGATCACTGACTGTTTCTTCTTCAGGTGAGGGTTTCTTTCTCTGGGGAACACTTGTGCTGCCAGTTGTCTCTTCAAGGTCACTACTAATGAATTCTCCCTGGAAAAAGAGAAAAGCAAAAGCCCCAGGAGGCTCTCAGGAGAATGGAAGACCCGCCTATCTCTTTCTCCAATCCCAAGAAAAAGAAAAGACGAAAGCTCTTTTATAGGCAGCATCTCCCCCTCAGTTTCCTTGACTGACAGACAACAGGGGCTGTATTTCTTGGTCTTTGGAAAACAATACTGCTTTTGAGTACCCAGTATCCAATAACAGAGCAGGATAGAAATGCTCTGTCCAAGATCCATGCCACATTAAGGAAGTGAAGAATTCAGAATCACGAATGAGAACATCAGATACTGCCCAGCTACTAAATATGAAGCTGGAAAAAGACATTTTCTGCATGGTGTGTGAAGGATTTGGGCCCTGAAACTTCACTGACATGAATGTGGTTAGGGCATCATAGGCTGAGAAAAAATCTACAGCCACCCAGCATTTGGAGTATGCAATTGCTAAACAATTCAAGCTTTTTTTTTTTTTTTAAGCAAGTTCCTTCTATTGAAAAGAGTTCCTCTGCCATTTTGAGTATAAATTTCTCAGTCATGTTCCTTTTGGAAGGGAATTATTTGCACATAAACTCAGACACATGAGAGCCTACTCATATCCTATTGGAAAAGAATGGACATCCACCTCTGTGACCCTCTGTGAAGTGCATGCTTCCTGAGCAGGTGCTTGCCATGTGTCATAGAGTGGTCAATTTCACCCCACTATTTCCCCAGTGATTCATAATTCATCTGCTGTCTTTCAATTCAAGTTGAACCATACTACGACCGCCCTCAGCTTATCAGAGGAACTCAAAGCCTCTTCTTACCGCTTGGGGAGTTTGTATGTCAGACTCAGTTAAAATACGCTGTGGTGGACTTTAGTGTCATTCACAATTTTTGTTCCCTCCTCTGAATTACCCATCCCCACCCTTGCCATGGCTCCCTAAACAAGGAGAATCCTCACCCACCCTGATGGCAGGCTTGGCCTTATGACTTTTTCGATCGACAGAGTGTAAGCAGATGTGCCCATATGAGAAGGAGCTTTTAATGTGATTTCAAGGTCAGCCTCTTGGGCACCTGCCCTCTCTCACAAGAACACAGCCTCCTCTCTGTGGTTTCTAGAATAAGAAGGCATGAAATACAACCAACCTGCAGTAAATCCATAGTCTGGAGCACAGCCCCAGCCAACCTGCAGCCCCAAACTCATGAGCATAAGAAACAAACTTTGTTGTTATGAGTCACTGAGATTTGGGGGTTGTTTGGTACATAGCAAATATATGTGGCTGATAGACACACTAACAGGAAGATCAGAGAATAGACTAAGCAAGGAACGGAAGAAAGTGGAATTAGACAGCCCAACCAAGTGTCTCAGTTCTCTATTGCCCCAATAATCAACAAACCATGCTGACACATAGTGTCTTAAAACATGAGGTATTGATTTAGACAATGCCTCTGTTTGTCCAGGCTCCTGGGGCTGTTCTGTGTTGGGTAACATTTTGATCTCACCTGGCCTTACCCACCTATCTGTCAGCAGGTGGAATATTGATAGGACGATGGAGACCACAAGGCACTCATCCTCCTGCAGGCTAGCCCAGGCAGGTTCCGATGGCAATGACAGAAGCAGAACACACGTGCAGAAATGGAAACACACAGAGCATCTGCTGACCCTACCAAGGCCAATCACAGGGCTGAGTCTTCAAAGGGTGCATGAAACACCCCAACCGGATGGGACAACACTACAGAACTATATGGCAATGGGCAAGAACACTGGAAAGAGTAAAGGTTTAGGGAAATTTGGCAATCTGCCACATCGAGCTTAGACACATGAAATGGGAGGGAGGAGGCACATTCAGGTGAAGGAAAGAAAGCACATTGGGTGGGATTTAAGTCTGTGCCTTTAACAACTGGGCCCATCGATGGTCTGTCTGACTCCACCTGATGCTTTCTACAGATGCCCGGATCATCCTTCTTCATAGGATCTAACCAAAATGTACATTTTAGTTCATACTCAAGTTGGTGGTCTCAGGCAGGGCCAAGGGTTGGTGTGATCCCTGAAATGTCCAGCTGTGGGGCCAAGCACACATGCTCTGAGGCTACAGGAAAAGCAAGACAGAACATGGGTAGGCCTTGACACTAACCATGGTCAATCAGCACAGTGCAGGAATTTGTCACTCAGGTGAATAAACTATGATTGTGCGTAGGATGTAGGAGTGTAGAAGCAAAACTATCAGTAAAATGCATTACTTCTTGTCATTGGGGATGATTCCCTAGTGTTTGAGAGCCAGTGATCAACACTGAAGAATGAGTCACACAACTGCAGGACTCTCATTGCAGACTTTCTGATGTAGAGCTTTTGAGATGGCTGATATTCCATGTCAGCGATCCAAAGGTGAATAGAATCCCTTAGAATACATCCTGTGTAACTTAGTAATGAAATTGCACAAAGCATATTTCCTTGATAGGTTAATCATTTCATTCTATTAGAAAAAAGTAGAAATTTGTATAGGGAAAATTTCTTTGAATCACTTACAATTGAAATAGAATTTTTAAAAATTTTACTGGATTGATTGAATCATTTCTAATACTGATATGTTTGTTGATCTGAGTGAAAAGATACTTAGAAACAAAAAATATTTTTGGATCCTCAAAAATCATCAAGGCCTTGACAATGGTCTTATTTCCAGGAACTTCCTCCCCCAGCTCAACACCCTAGTCTATATGGTAATGTGAACAGTGTTGTAACTAGCCTGCAGGAACATGCCAGAACAATCCCAGGGGAATAGGTGTGGCCAGTCTTTTTCTTGGCTGTGTCTGATCTATCAGTGAGCCCATTAAAAACATTCTTCATTTCTATTATGGAAAATGGTATGGAGGTTCCTCAAACAACTACAGATAGAACTGCCATATGATCCTGCAATACCACTGCTGGGTGTATACCCAAAGGAATGAAAATCATCATGTCAAAGGGATATCTAAACTCCCATGTTTATTGCAGCTCTATTTACAATAGCCAAGAATTGGAAACCAACCTAAATGCCTATCACTGGATGAGTGGATAAGGAAAATGTGGTATATCTACACAATGGAATGCTACACTGCCATAAAAAAGAATGAAATACTGCCATTCACAGCAACATGGATGAACTTAGGGGAAATTATGTTAAGTGAAATAAGCCAGGCACAGAAAGAGAATACCATGTCCTCACTTATATGTGAGAGCTAATAAAAAAATAAAATAAACAAAGAAAAAAAGGGGAAAAAAGTACAACAATCACAATAATACATTGAACTTTTTAGGAGAAAAGAAATGAGGTTTCCAGGGGTTGGAAAGGGGGGGGGGCAGGAAAGGGGTGAGGGGGCAGGAAAGGAAGAATTGGTAAAGGGCCACAAAAATCAATTACATTGTATAATGATGAATGTACTAATTACCCTGATTCTGAACATCATGTGTTGCACACTGGTATTGATATTCAATGCTGTACCCCACAGATTGGAGAATTTAAACCATTTGTATTTAGAGTAATTATTGATTGATAAGGACTTACTACTGGTATTTCGTTGATTTTTATTTGGCATATTGTTAAGTAATATTTTAATTTTTATTAAGTTTTTGACTATTTTGTACTTTTTTTGATCCTTTCTTCCAATCTTGTTATCTTTCTTTGTGATTTGTTGTATCTTTCTGTCTCTTTTTCTTTTAGTATATCTACTAAGTGTTTTTTCTTTATGGTTACCATGAAGCTTACACAAAACTTCTTACAGTCATAATATCCTGGTTTAAGCTAATAGCACCTTAACTTCAATTCCATACAAAGATTCTGCACTTACACTTCTCTCCCCCACACACATTTTTTGCTGTTGATGTTGTACATCTATTTATATTGTATCTGTTAACCAGTTCTTTATAGTAATAGTTGTTTTTAATACATTTATTTGTCTTTTAACTGTTAGATTTAGAGTTACACACCATCTTTACAGTATTAGACTATTCTCAATTTGACTATTTATTTGCCTTTACCAGTAAGGTTTATACTTTTATATGTTTTCACATTGTTACTAATTGTCCTTTCATTTCAACTAGAAGAACTTCCTTTAGCATTTCTTATAAGTCTGGTCTAATGGTGATGAACTCCCTCAGTTTTCCTTTGTCTTGTAATGTCTTTATCTCTCCTCCATTACCAAAGAACAGCTTTGAAGGGTGTGGTATCGTTGGTTGGAATTTTTTTTTTTCCTTTAGCACTTTGAATGTTATCCCACTCCCTCGTGGCTAGTCAAGTTTCCATTGAGAGGTCTGATGATAGCCTTATGAAAGCTCTTTTATATGTGGTAAATTTCTTTTGCTGCTTTCAGGACTCTGTCTGATTTTGACAATTTCATTAAAATGTGTCTCAGAGTATTCCTTTTTGAATTAATCTTGCTTGGATTTCTTTGTGATTCCTGAAACTGCACAAACATAACTCTCCCAAGATT